GGGGGGGGGGGGGGGGGGGGGGGGGGGGGGTGAGTAAATTACAGTATCAGGAAATTTTTATTCTGGATGTGAACTAATCCTTTAAGGTGTGGTCACATTGGCGAAATTTTGTGTGCAAAAAAGGTCCATTGTCTATTGTCACTGTAGCAATGTATGAAGCACAGCTCACACAGAAGTCACTTTCAAACCATGCAGCTTTCTGTTGGTCAGCACAGCGTTGGTAATCATTGTTACCAATTTTAATCCATTGTGAAATCTGTATGGGGAAATCTTTCACTCTCAAGTGAAATTCCAGTTCGCAAAGATTCCAACAGAAATGACTGGATTTTGTCAGTGAAAATTCACAGAACAATAGTAAATATGACTGCACCTTTTCTGTTAAGAAGGAACAACATGTACGGAGTGTTTATAAAGTATGTTTCTGGCCTAAATCTTCAAAATGTTATTATAGTGTTATAATAGTAATAGTCTGTAGAGCTTCCAAGAATTTCTTACCAACAATTGAAAGAATCACCACTACGAAGTCAAACACATTCCAGCCAATGGTGAAGTAGTAGTGTCGTAGGGAGATCATCTTGAGAACAGATTCTCCAGTAAAGAGGATGATGAAAACCAGGTTTATCCAGTACAGAATATTGTCCATCTCCTTTGTCTGATCGTCGGTTTCCACCATCATGGTCACCATGTTCAAGCAGATCAGGATCATAATCACAATGTCGAAGGCTTGTTTGGTGATTACGTCAAAGATGAGGCCTTGAAACTTGTTCTAGAGTGAAGTACAGAGAAATTGGCATTATTGAAAAATGTTGTATTAGGGAGGGGCATTCTGAGTTATTTACATTGTTAAAGAGTTTGATTCTGATGCTAAACATGGCCAAATTTTCAAAAAACAAGTTGGAGGTATGTATTTCTTTGCCTAATACACTCCTTCCAGGTTTAGTAAATTATTTTAAATATAATGTTCATTAATTCATTTAATTATGCACAGTATTGGTTAATATAATTAGATAATTAATATATTTATTAAACAATTAAAATGTGAACGTATTCTTTTTTAAAACAGTTTTGTAAATAGTGGCAGTAACGCTGAATAAACATTGAAATGCCCAATGGACAAATATACCCTTTGTATGGTGTATCTTCAGTTGGAGTAAACCACAACGTTACATTAATAATGCCTAAATAAAAGTATTCCTTAGTTTAAATATTTTAACATTTCTGGATCTCCTCAAATAAAAGTAAATATTCTAGTAGTTCATGGTGCTTTACCTCAAATGCCATTTTTAATTTGTGTAGTCATAAATTGCAGAGAGCCATGCACACTAAAGAGAAAGGTCTAAAAATACTACAGTCTACATTCAATATTCATTTATTCATGTGATTAGGATGTTCTCATTAATAATCACCAACAGCAAGCAAGAGGACTACAGCTCAAAAAATTAAACAGTGTGAGAGTATGCTGTTTTTCTCAAGTAGGACATGTTCCAGGATCAACTTCATTGGTCAGCACTGGGATGAACTGATCAGATTTTAAGGTTAGGTCTGATGTTAGAGAAATAGTTCACCCAAAATTTAAATTAGCTGAAAATCTATTTACCTTTAGCCATCCAAGATGTAGATGAGTTTGTTTTTCATCTGAACAGATATGGAGAAATGTAGCATTACATCACTTGCTCACCAATGGATCCTCTGCAGTGAATGGGTGCCGTAAGAATGAGAGTCCAAACAGCTGATAAAAACATCACAATGATCCACAAGTAATGCACACGACTGCAGTCCATCAATTAACATGACGGCACCCATTCACTGCAGAGGATCCTAGATGGATGGATCTTAGGATGCTAAATTTCTCCAAATCTGTTCCAATGAAGAAGCAAACTCCTGAAAGTAAGTAAATCTTTAGCAAGTTTTTCATTTTGTACGAATTACACGGAATTGTAACCACTGAAGCATAACTGCAATGTGAACTGTTACATCACTAATCTTACCAGCCAATCGTTGCTCTGTAACGGTTTGGTTAGAAATAAGGTTAGGCATCCAGGAACATGTCCTGCTTGGTTAAATCACACCACATGATGTGTGTTTGCGTGTGTCTTACCCTCATTCCTTCAAAGCGTGACAATGCTCTCAAAGGTCTAAGAGCACGCAGTGTTCTCAGGGACTTAATGGCAGTTAGTTCAGAGTAACCAAGAGCATTTGCTACCAGACTCACCAATGACACCTGTAAAACAAACACATTCAGCCAATCATGAAGGGAACTTGTGTTCAAACCCAGATAATACACACTATCCACTTACACACACACTGTACAGTTGCAAAGCAGTATATAAGGTCTATACATACATCAACAATCAGGAAGTCAAGCCAACACCAGGCGTTGGTGAAGTATTTGACGAAGCCATATGCAACCCACTTCAGAAGCATCTCCAATATAAAGATGTATGTGAAGACTTTATCTGCATATTCCAACACTGTCTTTATTGTTTTACGTTGCTCGATGTAAATGTCCTCAAAAGCCTGAACACACATACACATCAACAAATTTATTGTTGAATGTTTGTCAAATAAAAAATGATTGAGTGGGTGAGAATATTGTGTTTATGTGTGGGTGCTCACCAGTGCTCCACTGCTGAGTAATATCATAAAGATGATAAAGGACTCAAACCAGTTGTGCTCTACAATAATGAAGCAGGTTTTCCTGAGAATCCACCAACTCTTCCCTCTTCCCGTCTCCACATCGACCTGACAGCACTGAAACCTCATCACACAGCCTGAGCAAAAGACACAGAGAAAAGTCACTTAATGTAAGTTGACAGCAGAACAATTGAGCTCAGTGAAAAAAGTAAACTCTCCCAAAACGTCCCACAAAGTCAATACTAGAAGTCTTGCTTGGGAACTATATATGACATAAAGGGGCCAAACTGTACATTTTTGTAGCTATTTTTTATGCTTTCATTCAGATCCATATCTTCAGCCTTCCTTAAACAGGCTGTTTTGTTACTGTTCTGTATGTACTCTTTAAGACCTTGAAATTGTTGTATACTAAAAAAGTGTTATGTGAAGTTGGTGGTGATATGCTATTGTTAAAAAGTTTGAGGTCAGTAATTTTTTTAATGCTTCTTATGCTCACCAAAATGCTCACCAAACAATTAAAAATATTGTTTTCTATATCATTATAGAAAACAATGCAGCATCATTACTCCAGTCTCATGAGTGTCACACGATCCGCCAGAAATCATTCTAATTTGCTGATTCGGTGCTCAGAAAACATTTCTTATTATTAATCATGAACAGTCATGCTGCATAATATTTTTGAGAAAACCATTATGTATTTTTTTTCTGGATTCTTTGATAAATAGAAAGTTCAAAAGAACAGCATTTATTTGAAACAGATATTTTTTTGTTACAATTTAACCATCTTTACTGTCACTTTTGATCAATTTAATGCATCTTTGGTGGATAAAAGTATCAACTTCTTTCAAAAAATTCTCACTGACCCCAAATTTTTTAACAGTAGTGTATGTTAATGTATTCATATTTATGACTATTTCTAAATGAGCCAGTTTTGCACATAGTTACAATAAATGGACTAGAGAGGGAGCTTGGGTGAGTAAATTAGTCCTTACATACTGCAGTACATTTAAATCCTTTTTAGAAGAACATCAAATAAATCTGGTTTCCCAAGCTGTGCTCCTCTTAAAGTTCAAAGCAGTATTCACAACTCATTTAGCTTCTGTAACATCGTATTTGAGGGTGAAAAGGATATTCAAAGAGAAAAAATTAAGCTGGGACTAATTAGAAATTGATCATAATAAATGGCTATTCCATAACCACAATGGAGTCAAGAAGTTTACAGTTTATTGTGAAGCATTAGTGCCCTCTTGACCTCAATTCACCCACGAGACCATCATGACATATGACAACAGTAATGCTCAAATCTACTGCTATAATTGCTGTTTTCTCTAATTAACATTAATTGGCATGAAATTAGTGCATTAGCTATGGGCAATAATTTAGAAAGGCTGTATTACCTACAACAATATCCTACAATAAAGCCTAAATAGCTTTTAGGCTAATGATTAACATGAACCAATATTGGTTGTAGGTTAACATTAACTAGTATCTGGCCCATTGTCAGCTGGAGGAAAATAATCTCAAAAGCAGAGCAAGCTCTCATGTTTGAAATAGCATACACTGGTGAATAAAACCAGGAAAGCGTGTAAATAAGATAACTAAGATTCATTTTGATTTCCTATTTGTAAACAAATGCACACACACACACACACTGGTTTCCATGTTTTATGGGTACACTCCATAGATAGAACTTTTTGCATTTTTAGATTTTCAAAAAATGTAATTCTGAATGATGTATAAGCTGTTTTCCTCATGGGGGCCACAAATGTCCTACTATTACTATCCTTGTGGGGACATTTTGGTCCCCATAACATAAGGAATACAAGGTACACACACACACACCTTCTGTGAAGCAGGCCTCTGGGTCCAGGGACTCTTCCGGCTCCAGCTCCACAGACTCCACCCCCTCTCCAGGGGGTCGGATATCCACTGTGCTCCCTTCTGAAGAACTGAGAACCGCATCAACAGGCAGCTTCTACATAGGCATCCATGCAGCCACACAACCAGAAACAAGAAAGCAAACACACACACACACACAAATACACGCACAAGATTAGGCTTGACTGAAGCACACCATCTCGTCCATTTTGCTTTTGCAGTTATTCTCAGTCTCATGCAGTTTCAGATCATTCAAAAGTACCTACAAGCCCGTGGATTTAGAGATTGATTTGATTCACTGAATTAATTTTCTAATTAGCAGCCAGGTGTGAAGACAAGCTTCTCTGGCTTCACCGTATAATCTCACAGTCAGCTGTGGGTACATTTGATGTGCCTTCATTCCTTCCTCATGCATGTTTTTTTGTTTCTCAAGGTGCATTTTTTTTCTCATCCAAGCTTGTGATCTTGTCATCAGATGTTGAGTGCTTTGAGTATTTTCATGTCCAGTGCAAATGTCAACCCCTTACCTTTCCCCACCCCTTCCAAAAACAAATGTTTTCTATTGGATAATCCCAATACATTTGGATTGGCATGATTCAGATTATCACATGACCCCACCCCATAGAGTGCAATCCCTTGATTGACATGAAAACACAGGCTGGAAGTCCATTCCGTTAAGCAGTGGTCAAGCTTCGGTCCGCCAGTCAGTTTGAAGAGGAGGGGAGCCGCATTAGCGTTAACTAACACCAGAGCCACATGCTAAGTCTGAGACAGCATTTCATTAGCTTTGATTGGGGAAAACGACTTTAACTGGATCTTAACACAGAGATAGCAAGCTCTTAGGAAGACATATGAATTTATGGCTCAGAGAGCTTTTCTATTGGATGGCATCATTTTCTAATGATATTAACCCTTTAGACGTTTGTTCATCAGTGGTTAAAGACTTTTGTGCAGCTATTTTGCAGAACAATGGCAAATAAAAGCTTCTCCCAGAACTAAATTTGTTGATTTAGGACTCTAATTATATTGTAATTGATGTTATTGTAGATCTAAAGTACTGGGTAAGAACTCATTATTTGACATAACAATGAAGTTTTCCTGACCACAGTGTATTTCTTAAAGTTATTGACCCTTCTGTCAGTTTCGAACTGATAAAACTGTCAGTTAGAGAAACAGAGAGGCTAAAAAATTCATAGAGGAGGATGCTGTCTAAAACTGAGCTGGAGCACTGGTTGCCGTGGCACCCAGCTAATGCGGCGCGGGGAAATGATGTAAGCATGCTGTGTGCAATTTCAGAATCTTCCAGAATGCCTCTAACATTTTAATCACAGAAGGAATATAAGAGGCTGAGTAAACCTGAACAAGCTGCCCTGATCCAGACTGAATGGATTCACTATAGAGTCTCTAAGCTTTAAATAAGCCTCTCATTAATCTGAAATATTTTTGATGCTGAATCTAAATTTAGTCTAATTGATGCATTAAAGTCTAAAGGTTGAAATGTTCAGATTTGTTTCCTAATCCCGTTACTCTCTGGTACTCCCTAAATTCCAATTTATGTCTTTGAATCCAATTAGGAACAGATCTATCTCATTGGCAGATAAATATAAAGTGGCACGATGCACAGAAGTTGTAAAGTTGAGTTATCATGAAACCATTGGTCTAAATTAACCATTGGCTTGGTTCCAACTAGAGTAGAACCTCCTGATTGTATATGCACAAACAAGTGGCATAAATGCAATTACTGTAGCAATTACACACCTCAGCAGATTGAAAAATGCCTTCTAATGGCCGAATGCTATGAAGACAGATTCCCACTATTGCAGCAGTTTACAGTGCAATATATGACTGAATATTTGCAGATTTTTAAATAACAATATGATAATCTGCCTTTTGATATGCAAAAATATTAATATAATATTCAAAAAGAATTATTCACAACTCAAAAGCAGTTGTTTATCATAAAACCCTATTTATACCAAGCTTGTAGCTGAATCAACTAGCTTCCTTCAGTCTAATACAGTATGTATCATTCAGAAATGGACTAATTCTACATTGACTGCAATAATTAAAGTTTCCTGTTTTTCAAAGCTCACCTCTCCTCACACACACACACGTACACACACACACACACACACACACACACACACACTCAACCGCTTCCTGTTTCAAGGAAATTTAGCTCTGAATGCTTACTGATAGCTTGTACAAAAAAAAAAAAAAAAGAAACATACAAGCTAATGTAACAGAGAGATGCTCGATGGGCTATTGATGTAAAATGATGATCTTGCTCATTCCATATGACTGAAGGTACTGCAAAGAAGCTCAGTGCTACAACAGAAACACAAAGTCATGTAGAAAACAACAAACCAAAACAAAAAGGCTGACAGCTGTCTCTCTTCGGTGCAAAATAGGGTTGTTTAAGAGGGAGGGAAGGGCACAGGCATTGAGAAACGAAAAACAAAAGGGCAATCCGATCCAAAAAGAGAGATAAAATGAGAGAGAGACGAGAATTTGGTCTGATTTAGATGACAAAGGCAGTCTCCATGGTTAGTGTGGGTGAGGAGGAAGGTGAGTCTCTTACAGGGCTCTCTCAGAGAAAACCTGGGGTTCGTCTGTCATAACGCTGCAATAACAGGTCACACACAGAGAGGAGATACACACTTCACATAACATGGATAATAACGTCTGCAACTTCAACACTGAACCACTTAAATTAGATATAGAAATAGTTAGAAGAGGGGAGAGAGAAATGATTAAGCACAGTGACAGTACTGCTGGAAAAGCATGGAAATGTGCTGGAATACAAACACACACACTCACACACAGCCAGACAAAAACACATAAAAAACACACACACACATAGTTAAGCATACTCAATTTCACCCTGGGCAAGGATGCTGAATTTAGCAATTTCCTCAACAGCCTCATTCATAGTCTGGGATGCATGATGCCATGCCTGCTCAGTTGGTCGTAAATAATACACATTAGAGTGTGTGAGAGGTTATGTGTGTACGAGGCTGTGTTGTACTGATATAATGAATATAACTCAGAAAGTCTACCTGCTACAGTGCCCAGAGGTTTGTCTTAACTAGCTGCAGATGAACAGGGGCAAACTGCCCTGAAGCCCATGGAACAGTAAAACACACACACACACACATAATGGACTGCAGCTCTGAGCAGAGAATGTTGCAATGGTAATATGACTCAACACAACTGTTTGTCCCCTACAGGGAAAGAGACATTGACTCCTGATGAATTACAAACAAACCTAAAACAATAAATTAAACCATTAAATATGACTTTTTTGACATTATGTTATATAGCAACTCTTTCCCACACTGAAACACAAAAATTCTGAACTGTGTTTCATGCATTTTAAAAGTGAAATTTCTGTTTAGCTGTAGAAATCTGGCTTACCTCTTTACTGCCCTCGATGTCAGACGAGTCACTACTAAAATCTTCCGTGTTCAGATTTTCAAAGTCCGACTCTCCCACCGCAATTGGTACTGTAACAGTGAGGCTGGGATTGTGTATGAACGACATGTAGTTGCCTTCCTCAATTCCATACTTTACGTGACCTTCCACTCCATTACCAGGGGAGACGCAGTCCTCCTTCAGATAGTCTTTTGTGAGGTCGACGGCCACCGGAACGTGATTGGACAAGCAATTCTCCTTGCCGTCACTGTGGAGGTCGTCAAGGGGTTTCTCTTCATCTAGAGCACGAGGTTTGGAGCCGGCCAGGCAGAGGCTTTGGAGAAAGTGGCGTAAAGCGGACTTGACCAAAGCGATACCTTTCTGTATTCTGCCCACGGCGATCTGCAGGTTGTTCATTTCGCTGTCCTCATCAGTGGCGGCCAGATTATCGGCACTGAAAGAGCTCAGCAGCAAGGCCAGGAACAGGTTCAACACCTGCCACACAACAACACACACTTTGAGAATCAGCAAGATCAAACACAGATAAAATTAACAGATTAGACTCAGAAATGATCACAATTATCAGAACATGTCTGGGTCAAAAGTTTTGGGTTAGGACGATTTTAAAAAATATACATATTTTAATTTAACAAGTTAAATTGATTAAATTTTACTTAAATTGATCAACAGCAACAGTAAAAACTTTTACATTGTTACAAAAAAATGTATATTTCAAATAAATGCTTTAACTATTTTCAACACTGATAATAATAAGAAATGTTACTTGAGCACCAAATCTGCATATAAGAATGATTTCTGAAGGATCATGTGACACTAAAGACTGGAGTGATGGCTGCTAAAATTTTAGCTCTGCATCACAGGGTTAAAAAATTACATTTTGATTTTTTTAAAACAGAAAACAGTTATTAAATTGTAATTATATTTTAAAGTATTACTGTTTTTCCAGTGTTTCTGAAATTTAGCCTTGGTGAGCAAAAGAGACTTCTTTTAAAAACATAAAAAAATCTTACTGACCACCAATTTTTCAATGGTAGTGTACCTCAAATTTAAATTAAATTAAATTAAATTAAAATTAACCCATGCATTATGGTAATGAAAACATGGAAGGAAAATGCACTTAATTGTCATGAAAATGCAAAAAATTGTATGGCTCTAAAACAAACCTAATTTACTCTACGCAAATTATAATTTCTAATTTTTTCTTTGTTGGAGGAAAATAGGAAATGTCAATGAGATTCTAAACAAGTACATGAAATGTCTGAAGTTGCAAAGTAGGAAAGTGTTTCTGGATCAACATCCTGTAAAATAAACATAGTCCTAATCCCAAACCTTAACCATTGCATACCTAAAATCAGATGGACAGGAAGTTGCTGAACTCAAAGCCCTAAGCCTTACCCTAGTCTTTGAACTCAAAATATGATTTGTTCATATGAATGTTGTTGCAGGACCTACAAAGATGTTGATCCAGTAGCATGTCCTACTTGGCAAAATCCAATTTATCAATGCAGAAAGCATAAAATTGCAAAAGTAAATGTACATGAGAGGAATAAAAAGAAAGACAGGAAGAAGAAAGGTAGAGGGAAAGCCTATCTTCCAGGTGTCTCCGTGTGGCATGACTGATCTTACCACCAGATTCCCAATGACCATGACCATCATGAAGACGATGAGACACATTGACTGCCCCGCCACTTCCATGCAGTCCCACATGGTTTCGATCCATTCGCCACAAAGCACCCGGAACACAATCAGGAAGGAATGGAAGAAATCGTCCATGTGCCACCGCGGCAACTCACAATCATCTGAGATCTTGCAGACACACTCACGGTAGCTCCTTCCAAACAACTGCATTCCCACCACAGCGAAGATGAAGACAATGATGGCCAGGACGAGGGTTAGATTTCCCAAAGCACCAACTGAGTTACCAATGATCTTTATCAGCATGTTCAGCGTGGGCCAAGACTTTGCCAGCTTAAAGACTCTTAACTAAGAGAGAGAATAAGACAGGGAATGTTAGAAAAGAGCTGTTTTGTGATCAAGCCATTACCCTGAATTCATGGAGTCTTAAATGTATAAAAAAGACAACATTTGGGTTTCTGAAATGGTATCAGCCATACAGTAGAGTCCAAAACTTGCACAAGCATGTAGATTTCATAAAGCTCAAGTGCTACTGTCTTGAATTTTACTCACATTATGTTGATGACACAATTTATAATGAAAATAACATTATTAAACTAGAAAAAAAAAAGCAAAACAAGCATTTTCACTAGTGGTCTTAAACCTTCGAACACCACTGTAAGAGATGAGAGATTTGCTCACCAATCTAAAAGACCGCAACACAGAAAGTCCCTCAACATTGGCCAGGCCCAGTTCCATAAGACTCAGGCTCACAATGATGCCATCAAAGATATTCCAGCCTTCTTGGAAGTAGTAATATGGGTCTAGAGCAATTACCTTTAGACACATCTCTGCTGTGAAGATTCCTGTGAATACCTGCACAGAGCCCAAAAGGAACAGATCAGCACCAAAACAATCCTAACAACTACCAACGGAACTAAAAATCTCAACACAAAACCAACAATAAGAACATTTACACAGTGCACTAAAATGTTTAAAATCTGCATCCTCGATGTTTAAAAAAAGATTTTAATGCATCATAGGAGTTTGCTTAAACGTAGTAGTATAATATTACTGACTAACAGTTTTGTATTTGTTGTACTGTTTTTATGCACGTCATCCGCCTGGAGCTGCTTCCGTGTACAACAGTGAGTGCAAGCTAGATTAAATTGATTATTACGTTTTAAATATGGTTATTTTTCTTACAAAAACGCATCGATTCGCTACAGGAGGCCTTTGTTCACCCCCCAGAGCCGTGTGAGGCACTTTTTATTATGGATGGATGCGCTTTATTTCACTTCTTTTGGACTGATGCACTGCAACACACGTTGACTGCCATTAAACAGCTTGGAAGATCAAAGACAATTTTTAATATAACTCCAACTGGATTCGTCTGAAAGAAGAAAGTCATATACACCTAGGATGCCTTGAGGGTGAGTAATTCATGGGCTAATTTTCATTTTTGGGTGAACTAACCCTTTAAATCAACAAAATCAATAAAAAAATACTGTATTATAATGAGAATCTGGCATTGAGAGCTCACCAGGTTCCCAACTGACAGCACATGGTTGAACCCGTCTGTCATAGGGTAGTGTTCCATAGCCATGAAGAGGGTGTTGAGAACAATGCAAATGGTTATGGCCAGGTCTACAAACGGATCCATCACCACCATGTTCACAATCTCCTTCACCCTCAGCCAGGCTGGACAGCAGTCCCAGATCAAGAAGCTGTTGGCAAACTTGTACCAACATGGAGGGCACTTCTGCCGCGATTCCTCAAGTTCTGTGAACAGAAATCATTTAATATCTATTAAATGTTCAAAAAAAGTATGGCTTTCGAATTGCTTTCAAATGATGGTTGAATTGCAAAAAGTTTACATGTCTGCATTGTCTGTTGGAAGATTGTGTGTGTATGTGATGACTGAAAATTAGATGATGAGGTTGAGAGTGCATGTGAGGCGTTCAAAAATAATTGCACTGGCATGTCAGCAGTGTCAGCAGTGTCAGCAGCTACACGACTTAAAGTCAGTGGTTAAAGGTCAGTACATGAGTGTGAGAGTGGTGTGTGTGTGTGCATATGTGTGTGAGGGTGATCTTATTTGCTTTCATAGCTAATCGTATGTAAATTGTACTTGTACGTTTTTGTATGACTAGATATACAGTGAAATATATAATATAAACATACTGACAGCATCTAAAACAAACTCGTTTACATATATGTAACTAATTCACCTGTAGTTTTACCCGAACATATGTTTCTATAGTTGTACAGAAACATTTGCTAGGGTAAAACTACAGTTGAATGAGTTGAATACACAATTGAACAAATCCCTGATGATTTATTTTTATCAGTAAATAACAGAAACTTTGCCAGAGAAAGCCAAATTTATTTAAAAATGAAATACAAATGGAGCTAAAAAATAAATAAATAATATTATTTTATTTTATTTATTCTCTTTAGAAATCACAGAGAACAAAATGAAACCATTATGTCAAATTATTATTATATTATATGTGATTTTAACACATTTGTTTACATGTGTGAGGTCAGTGTGTTTCAGACCTTCCATAGTATTTGTCAGAATGCTGGCCACACTCAGAGCTCTTTTTCTGGCTACTGTCTCATCCAGATAATCAGACGGCTGGTGTGATCCTGAACGTTTTTTACGTGCCTCAGACTCAGTGGTTGTGCCCTAGAAAGAAAAAAAAACATTTCATGAGAATTGAGCATTTTATTGTTTATTTTTTTGTTTGTTTTTTTATTATGCAAGTAAAGAATATGACAATATTTACATGTGCCAAATGCAAAATTACCAGGACAAAAAAACATATACTGTATACTAACAGCCAACATTACATGTTCATTCTGAAAAACTCCTGTATGTGTATTTGTGTGTCTGTGTGCTTGTGTGTGAGTGTCAGTGTATCTAGCATATAAACCAAAGAATATTTAACAGATATATAACAGATACAGGCATTTCAGTTGCTCTACCTCAGGTAACAAACGTCCGATTGGTGATGTTGGCACAGATGTCCCGCCCACCAGGGAGACCACTCCATTGCAATCAACTGTGCAGTGCATTTTTCCGTTGGCTGGGAGCATAATTCTGGGAGCAAGGCTGCAGTGACTGACAGTGGAACTTCGTCTCTCAATGCAATGAGGTACGAAGAGCGATCCGCGGCGACTGTCACTATCCTCAAACGTGCTGTGCTCATCATCTGCAAAATCATTCTCGGAGCCAAAATCTCTCGCTCTACCGCGAAAACTGAACAGACTGGTGCGACTGTTCCTCCTTGGGGAGAAGAGAGATCCACGAATGCTGAGAAGAGACTGAAAAAGACACAAAAACAAAAAACTAAGAGAAAATGTAAAGTACATACATTGTACTTTTTAAAAATTAAGATTAGAAATTGACTGATAAATTATTTTTAACACTGATACTGATACGATTGTTTATGTGTCCAATAACCAGTACACAGAACACATTTGTATTTATTATTCTAGTCCTAATATTAATAATTAAATCATTCATTACTAAAGTCTGAAGGTGAATATCTTGCTTTTCGACAACAAAGGGCCCTATCATACACCCGGCGCAATGTTTTTTGCTAGTTTCAGCCCGACGCAGTTGTCATTTTCACATCCTGCGCCACGTTGTTTAAATAGCAAATGCATTTGTGCCCATTTGTGCGCCCATGGGCGGGCTGGTCAGAAAACAAGGTGTGTTAAGGCGCATTGCTATTTTGAGGCAACTGAAATAGACTGTGCAATTGACCAACAAAAACCTGGTCTAAAGTCTGGTGCAATATTTTTTTTTCTTTTTTGTTATTTAAAGAGCATGTTAGTAATATGCTCCAATAGGCGGGTGCACAACTCGTGTACACTTTGCTTATTACACACACAGGGATGCGCAGCAGCACACAAACATTTTTAAAAATGAAAAATTAAAGGATTAAAATGTAAAGATTATTATTGTGTACATAAATATAAAAATGCCTACATGTCATAATGGATAGTCATTTCATGTATCAGAATTATGCGCACAAGCAGATCCGTTTCCTCGCTAGAGACGCGTTCAGTTTTTCCGCTTGTAAATTCCGCCATGACACGAGAGCAACTGGCTTTTAAAGGGAATGTGAGATGAGACTAACACTTGTTAGCCCAAAACACACCTATTACTCATTAAGAGAATAGGGACAACCCTTTTAGACTACGCGCCGGGTGTGCCGACCATTTTTCCCATCCTTAAACTAGCAAAAGTGGATTCGGACATGCCCTAAGCGCAATTGCGCCATGCGCTTAGATCATTAAAATAGGGCCCTAATACTGCATTGAAAAGCTGAATAATTTTTGCAAGAAACACATTTAATTAACAATAATATGAATGCTGTTCCTGTTGAAAATTGGCACTGTGGTGTCAAAAGCTCTCTAAAAAGACTAGGTCTGACTAGCAAAAGCAAGTAGCAAATTATGGTTCATAGCTATGATCTAAACTAAAGGTTTTTAGCTATTTAAAGAGAGCACAAGCCCTTTGACGCGTCCTACCCCAAACTCCAAAATACATCAACACATGAACACATAAGTTTCTTTAAGACCTACTATCTTTGTACTTGTCCCTGAAGATTTAGTTGTGTTTGTCATCATCAAAATGCCTGCTCTTAGTTTTGAATTTCTACCATCAGCTGGTGCAAAAGTGTGAAAAATTGGTTCATTTTGTTTCTCTATGTTTATGTCATGTGCTCATATTAAGTCATATTTCAAAATTGTATATCCGATTTGTCTCATGGTATTTATATTGTGAATAATGTTACTGCAGATTAATTTGCATGCATATGCCAATGGTAGCATGTATGTTTTATGTTTTACAATAGATTTCTGGTGGATTAAGATTTGTTAGAATTAAATGAAACCACATTTACATTTGGGTTATTTTCGAGGCATCTGTGTAATGCATCTGTGCCACCTTTAACCCTGTAATCCTCTGTGAATAAGTGCATAGCTGAACATTTTATTGAGCTAATATTTTCTGCCTCCCTATCACACTTCTTGAGTTGATTAGCACTCCGCCCACCTCAGTAACAATATAGCTGAGAAGATGAGAATTATCTGACAAACTCAGAAACGTTTATCAAACAACATTTCCCACAATGGCACACAAAGGAGGTGGTCACCTGGTTTGGAGTGGAACATTTCTTCTCATACGAGAGTCGGTTGGCATCGATGGAGAATCGAAATCCAGGCCGTCTGATGCTGTCCTCTGAGGCGGACTTATGGAACTTTTCCTGATCGGCTTTCTCTTCTTCTTCCCTTTGTTTTCTTTTCTTCCTCCTATTCCTTCGCTCTTTAGCGCTCTTGGAGCTGAGTCTGGACCCTCCGGAGGAGCTTTCCTCTGACAAGCCCCCCCTCCCACTGTACTCCCCACTCTCTGTTGCTGCTGCCACGGCAACCTGCCAACCAATCACAGCGCAAGCACCGTTGTCAAGGGCAACCAGGGGTAGACTTAGTTCAAGCTCACATACCGAAAGCAGAGACAAGAGATGGATAAACAGTGAGCACTGAAGAAGGAGGGAGGATCGCTTTATGTGATCAGATTAAATTACAGGTATTTGTCATATTGTTGACCTTTGCCACTTTATTCCATTCTCAGTAATCCTTACTTACAACTGCATTATGTTTTTAACTTTCTTTTTCCTTATTATGTCTTTCTAACTTTTGGAATCACATGTAATAAGCCCAATTACTAGTAAAAAGTAAAAGTAACTCTGACCTCTATCTATCTATCTATCTATCTATCTATCTATCTTCCACCATAGAGATCGCACAGTCGCCATTTTTGAGTTAATCTACATCTTGCTTTTTTGGTCTCTTTCTCTGTTTCTCTCGCTTTCTGTTTCCCTCTTGTTTCTCTCTTTTTCATGTTTACTAGGAGAAAGGACACTCTCTCACTCGCTCTCATTATCTGTCGGTTTCCATGGTGACAGGGCAGTGTTAGCCGAAGCAAGTGTAGTGCTGAGAAACTTCAGAGATGACGAAGGCAGAGGAAGAGATCAAAGATCAGGAAACGAGCACAAAATAATGATCAAAACAAAAGTAATGAGAACACACAATAACTGTAAATCAATGTGATAATTTGTATTTAAAAAAAACTGTCTGTGCAAGTGAATGTATGCTTGTGTATTCTGATAGCTAGTATGTGTGTGTGTGTGTGTGTGTGTGTGTGTGTGTGTAGCTACCTGTGCCTCTTCCTGTTGTCTCTTTAGCTGTTCTAGCATGGCTTGAAACTCTTCCTCTTTCTGTTGAGCCTCTTCTATGGTGGCCTGGTTCTGCTCGTCATATGCCATGGCCACCACAGCTAGGATGAGATTTACCAGATAGAAGGAGCCCAGGAAGATCACAAGAACAAAGAAGATCATATAGGGCTTTCCAGCTGCACGCAGGGTCTATGAGAGGCAAAACACACACATACACAAACAAAATGTTACAAAAATACTTTTTTGGAAGAAAGAGAATGAGAAAACAAGAAAAAGGATATTGATTAGTTAATGGATAGATGCTGATGTTTTCTAACGCCTACAGGAAAATGGGCTAAACTTATATATAATGGTTTCTTTATTATTAAAGTATTACAACTCGGAATTAAATTAAATTTGTTTTGCTATGGCTCTGGAGATTCAAGAAACAATGGTGTGGTATAATGTTAATAGGAAATAAATAGCCATGGCCTAGACATTGTAGAAGGATGTAGGGTGTCTTTTCATGTCTACAGGATGATACTGAGCTGATGTCAGGGCTGTACCTGCTGGTAGAGGTTTTCCCAGAAGTCTTGTGTCATGAGTCGGAAGAGTGAGAGGAAGGCCCAGCTGAATGTGTCAAAGCTTGTGTAGCCATAGTCAGGATTACGACCTGCTTTTATACACGTGAAGCCCTCTGGACACTGCCTGTAATCCAAGGAAGTGGAAAAATATTTTCAGCATATTCAGTGAATATGAGTTATTTAGCCCAACACGGGACATCATATGTGGTTCTCAACCAGGAGGCCAGGGCCTCAGCAAACTTTCAGGTAGGTCTCAATGAGTTATAGTTACATACATCTCAGTTAAAATGCTAAAAGTAAGAGAAGTACACGTTAGCTTAGAATCAAAAAGGCTGAAAACCACTGCATTATATAAACTTAACCAATTCAAAAATGAGATGTTAGATTGTTAAGAAAACATGCAGTATTTCAAGTGAAAATTTTTTTTCTTTATATTACAACATTTAATCTATTTACATTCTATATTCTCTATATTCTATAATGATGTTTAAATTTCACTAGCATATGCAGTCTAAAAGAACATATTCACCCTGCATCGCTTGAATTTCCACATAGCAAAGGATCTCTGCGGCCTGGGAGGAAATAATAATTGCCTAAAAAGGGGAAAGGCACAAGATAAATGTCAAAAAACATAATAAAAAGCTGAACATATACACACAAAGATGTACAGTACAGGATATGTTTCTAGCCGTGAATCCTGTTGCTTGAAGGAAGTGTATTTGCCTAAATTGTCTAAAAAAGACTTGACTTTAAAGCACACTCACTGCGAGGCAACACACATACACACACACAACCATAAGAGTGCTTTGAGCACTCGATGACTCATTTTTCTTGGGCCAGTGGAGCATTCCTCACATCCTCAAGGACATGTAGTGTCAATGAGCATCTCAATAACACACACACATACACACACAGAGAAGCACACACATTCTTCACGTACTCTCGTCACTAGTGTATTCTGTCCAGTTAAAGGTTTTGCGCAGCTCTAAACCGGCGCTGTAGTTCAGCGTGGCGGTCAGGTTTTCAGTGACATTGACCTCCGGCATCTTCACACACTTGTGCCGCAGGTTTCCCATGAAGAGCTGCAGTCCGATCAGAGCAAACACACTCAGACAGAACACAGTCAGGATCATCACGTCTGACAGCTTCTTCACGGACTGGATCAGAGCGCCAACGATAGTCTTCAGCCCTGAGGAACACGCAACGGTGGTCACAAACACACCCAATACACACAACAACTCAAACACAATGTGAGAATGCACAATACAGCTACATAGATCTGGAAAGGCTCTTATGGTAACACTTTAGAATAAGGTCTAATACGTTAACATTACGTAGAATGATAGCTACATTGCATTTATTTATGTAGGTTAATATAAATTCATATGTTTACTGATACAGTTATACATTTTTGTGTAAATTAACATTGTTTATCACAAACATGAATAACAATGAACAACAGTGTATTTATAAATTACCATGAACCAAAATACTGTAAAATTTTGTTCATCGTTAGTTCAGAATACCTAATGCACTAACTAATGTTAACAAATTGCATATTATTAAAGTGCTACTGTTTCTGTCATACTGATGCACGAATGGTTCACCCAGAAACCCATTACTTATTCACCCTCATGTCATTCTAAACCTGTATGTTGTTATTTTTTGTGTAAAACACAAAAAGGAAATTGACACAGCTCTATTCTATACAGTCACAGTTCATAGCAACCACAGCTGTCATGCTCCAAAAAGACACCATGAAAGCACCATAATGGTGTCCTATACAAATGGTACACTACATTTTAAGCCTTTTGAGGTCAGATGACAGCTTTGTGTGACGACAATAAAGAAAATTAAATCAGATTTGGTGTCATCTTGAAAATCTTCTTTAGTGTATCTTTAAATTAAGAGTCAAATTCTGATCTACTCTTTACACAAAGATATTATAGCATACAGGTTTAGTTTGGAATAATGACGAATAAAGAAAAAATTGTAGAATGTAAAATTTTGGCTGAACTATTCTGGCAGTATACAACATTACCTTATATTTTTGACATTATAGTTACTCGAATCCTTTTTTTAAACTAGAATAACACAAAAAAATCTAGAAAACATTCTGTTTTATATAATTAGTAAAAAGAAAGCAATCAAGAAGCTTTTGGTGATTAAAACATGGTTTTAAATATTAGTTTGCATGTTAGTTGAATAAATGTTTTTGACATTGCGTATAAACAACATTAAAGCATGCAGTGTAAGACAGTGAGTGCAAGTGTTGCATGTGCATGCCATCATGTGAGCGTGTGTTTCACAAACACACACACACATGTGAAGCACAGCATATAACGGGCACAGCCGACGATGCGCATGCACATAGAACTCAAACAGCAGACAGAGGAGAAGAGAAGAGTAGAGGGTCTCAAGTTCTCTATCTCAGGCTATAGGCTTCAGCAATGTCTCATGCAAAAAAAAAAAACACAAATTAAAAAGTGCCCAGTTGTCTATTTCCCAAGTCATGATTGGAGAACTTTCCCAAGGTGTGATGGTCTTTGGGAAATAACAGAGCAGAGCCCGGCAGAAGAGATATAAGGAAAACTATAGAATGTGTTTTTAAAAGCCTGGAATCCCGTTTTTTACGCCCAAGCGGATTCCTGCTTTCTCTGACCGCTGGGAGCGACAGAATGAGAGAGAGGCCAGCGGAGGAGGGGATGGAGTGAGCGAGAGCTCAGATGGAGAGAGAGGCAGCCTGTGAGCTAGCCCTCACCTGGAATCACTGATATAGTTTTGAGTGCTCGTAAAACCCTGAAGGTTCTCAGTGCTGAGACATTGCCCAGATCCACAAATTCTGTTACATATCTGTAGGGAGGGTGGAGGGGGAAGGGGTCACACACACACACACGCACACGCACAAACACACGCACGCATGTTAGGACAGGACAGGGTAGCAGAGGGAAACGTCACACAGAGACACACATCTGACTGACACCTGTGTTTACGCGCACACGCATGCGCACGTCTATACACACACGCACGCACACACATACATCCCTTACCTGGGATGACTGAGATAGTTTTCAAAGCTCTGAGCACTCTGAAAGTGCGGAGAGCTGACACATTGCCTAGGTTTACAAACTCAGTTACATACCTGTAGAATCAAATAGAGAGTTACCACAAGCGCGCACACTCATGCACACCAACACACTCACTCAAACTAACGCAACAGCAACCGACATGGATTCACCAGCTTTCTTTCATCAATGTGTGCAAACTCTCATTAACAGCTCAGGAAAAACAGTGTACAGACTCATTTGTATGACTCTTATTTTAATACAAATTAATAAGCATGAGAAACATCTGTCATTGGAGATACTTACGCCATCAGAATGACACTGAAATCTAGCCAGTTCCAGGGGTCTCGCAGGAAAGTGAACTTCCCCACGCAGAAGCCCCGTGCCAGGATCTTTATCAGGGACTCAAAGGTGTAGATCCCTGTGAACGTGTACCTGAATGCACACGAACAAAACTTCACTAAGAACAATTAAGTTGTATGAAATTGAAACATTTAAATGTTAAATACCCCATGTAATGATGCTATTTCATTTGCTGTGTTGACAAATTTCCTATTGGAAAAAAAGTCGGGGCACAAAACACAAAAAGAGAAGACAGCATAGTGACCATATACGTTAAAATGCAAAACACAAAAAAACACCATTAGGTGCTTCATACAACTTGTATTCTCAGTCAATTCCAGGTGTTCAGAAACCGTGATACTATGTGCAAGGAATAGACTTTATTTATTTTTACTGAAATGACTCGCTGAAAATCTTCCCATTGAGTAAGATGTTCTGCATTGCGTTGACCTCAAAAATTAAATCGGTGAAAAAAATTTTCTTTTGAGGTGTTGATCCAATTGATCCAGTCACGAAAAGGAACCAAGTGATTCATGAATGAATTCTAATTTGTTCAATAAGTCCAACTCACTGACTCAATCTACTCACAGCAGTTCTTGAGTTAACAGCTCACTAGAAGGGAAGATTATAAGTCAATAAAAGCATAAATTTCAGTAATTCCCACACACAAAATTATTGTATGGCTTTAGAAAACATAGAATAATAAGAACGAACTGTATGGTATGGTGGTTTATTGTTGTTTACTTTTTTAGTTGTTGTTACTTGTTTAGTTGTTTACATTTTTTGAAATGAAGAGACAGGGTTGGTCACTATAAAATATAAACTGTACATTTTTGTTCCACAGAGTAAACAGTGAGAGTAAAACAGAATGACAGAATTTTCATTTTAGGTAAATTGTTTATTTAAATACATTCCCACAAAACCCTGATTTGCTACTCGCTGTTGTTAATGAGTAACAGCTGTCATTTAATATACATTTAATATATATGTATATATACAGTGGTGGCCAAAACACTAGAACACTAGTATTTTCACCAGCTAAAAAATGATTTTAAATCAGTTATTTCTATCTTTTGCTGTGTCAGTAGGAACTGTGGCAATGCTTCCAAGATGCTTCAAGAGACCTACCTGCAAAGCTACCTGCAAAACTATGCGTAAGTGCACCTAGGGCAAAAGCTGCTGTAAACTCAAAGGATGGTCACACCAAATGTTGATTTAATTTAGTTAATAGAAGTTAATTTATAAAGAAAATCTATGTATGACATTGTTTATGACTGTATTTTACAGCATTTTTACACAAGTGCCTAAAACTTTTAAAAGTACTGTAGCTTTGCAGGTAGGTTTCTTGAAGCATCTTGGAGACGTTGCCACAGTTCTTCTGGATTTAGTCTGTCTCAGTTTGTTCTATTTCTTCATGTCATTCCAGACAGACTGAATGATGGTGAGATCAGATCTCTGTGTGGAGCACTGGCTGTTGTCAGACTCCTTGTGCAAACAAAAATCTCACTGGATTATTACAATTAATGGCAAAATGAATGTTCGGAAATGTACACTGATATTTCCTACTGACACACTACAGCAAAAGATAGAAATAACTGACTTAAAACCATTTTTAGCTGGTGAAAATACTAGTGTTCTAATAATTGGACTTTATATATTTTTGTTGCTCTTTTGTTGATTTTAATTGCTTCCATTGTCCTAATTTGTAAGTCGCTTTGGATAAAAGCATCTGCTAAATGACTTAATGTTATGTAAATATATGCGTGCAGTGGTGTTCTGAAAGTCCTCACTTTTTAAATATTTTTTTATTTTTTTTATAAAATGTAAATACATGTCCCAGTCACATTTTCTTGGTTAATTTATATATATATATATATATATCATTATATATATATATATATATATATATATATATACTGTATATATATACATAATGTAAATTCATGTCCCAGTCACATTTTCTTAGTTCAATAAACTTTACTTACACTACTAGAATAAAAATATATTTTGTATTTTTACATTAACAATGTAATTAATAGGCTATTCAATTTATTAAAACCAAGTATACATCTCATCAGTTTAGTGTTTTTAAGCATTTTGCATTTATTCCAAATGAATAACTCAAGGCAGTAAAAATGTATGCAATATATTTTTTTTAAACAATTATATATTTTATTTATGAACTGATGTTCAGCTGTTCTTTTTAGAGAAACTTATTTTTGGATTATTAGTCATCAGAGCTCAATAAACACTGGTCACAGATGCGAAGATGTACCTTTAATTTCAACAAGCTGATTGTTCACTACAAAAAAAAACACAGTTCATGTTTCCAGGCCATTTGAAGTTTGATTTTGATGTGACAAAGTGGCGGTATTAAAGTGTATGCATTGCTTACTATTTAATTAGCCTTCCCATTAATGCCATCATTTTGTTCATTCAGACTGATTGACGAGCATGGAACGCGCAGAGCCAATCATAGCCGATCATAAGCAGTCATATCCAATCATTTTGCGAAGGAGGCATTGCCTCCTCTCACGTGACTTTCCCCCATTCATTCTCAATTACCCCCCAGCAAACTCTCTGCACGTTTTAGGGGGGCTCAGGGGAGGTGAGAGAGACACAGACTCCCACTATAACTTTACTTGCTAGTGTCTCTGTTGGATAGTTTTACTTTAGAAAAACAAGTGATTTATACACTTTTTTGTAATATTTTGTAATATTTGCATTGTTTTATTTCTGTACTATGACTTTTTTTTTTTTGAGGAGGCACTGCCTCCCTTGTCTCTTCGGAGGAAACGCCCCTGATAAATATATAAGCAACTGTGTGTGAAAACCTTGTGAAGACTTACAGAAAATGTTTGACCTCTGTCATTGCCAACAAAGTGTATATAACAAAGTATTGAGATGAAATTTTGTTATTGACCAAATACTTATTTTCCACCATAATTTGCAAATAAATTCTTTAAAAATCCTACAATGTGATTTTCTGGATTTTTTTTTCTCATTTTGTCTCTCAAAGTTGAGGTATACCTATGATGAAAATTACAGGCCTCTCTCATCTTTTTAAGTGGGAGAACTTGCACAATTGGTGGCTGACTAAATACTTTTTTGCCCCACTGTATATATTAGGGGTGGAACGGTTTGCAGAAAAAAAATCGAACCGTACAGTTCTCCACACACGGTTCGGCATGCCCTAGGACCGCAGTTCAACTTAAATCTGACAACGCATCTGTAATATGGTTTGCTATAAATAACACGTAAAACAAACAGGGTTCGGCTAATATATGTTTCTGTTGATGGATGCGCATTCTGGCTTTCCAATACATTACAACAACAGCGATGAAAAAAAACCCCGCGCCTCAGAACGTGCACAAATATTAAGCTCTCTCTGAAGTATTGTGTTTAAATGGACAAATTCACACAAAAATTATGTCAAAATGCCCGTCTTGGTAAGTATCCTATAGCAGACATAGCCGGCTGAACGTACTGTATCAGTGCACTGCATCAGTGCATTCCCTTAAAGTGACAGCACTTTCTTAATATTAATCAAACAGCAACAACAAAGAAATCACTCACTGCTCTTGATTGAATAGCTTTTGAAACTTTAATAAAAAGTAATCTTTAATTTATAGTCAAATATGCAATGCTGTTTTGCATTTCATTACTTTATTCAATTTCTGTACCTAAAAACTGTTAGGCATACCTAAAAAAAAAACTGAAAATCACTATTTATTTTATTTATATATTTACTCTATTGTATTTATTTGTGCTGTTGCTTGTAGTTACACTGAACAAAATTAATTGAATGGATGAATTATCTCGGCAAAGGAGAAGTGCTCACTAACAGATTTAGACAGATTTGTGAACAATATTTGAGAGAAATAGGCCTTTTGTGTACATAGAAAAAAGTCTTAGATCTTTGAGTTCAGCTCATGAAAAATGGGGGCAAAAACAAAAGTGTTGCGTTTATAATTTTGTTCAGTGTAGATAGATTACTCTTATTTTCTTTATTTTTATTTGACAGTATAGTTTTTGCCTAAACATAGTACATACCGAACCGTACCGAAACTGTGATACAAACCGAACCGTGAGTAAGTTGAACTGTTCCATCCCTAATAAATATACATAGGGGATACAAATTTACAGATCACTTTTTTGGACAAAATCATGTCCATACAAGTGTTTACAAGATAATGAATATGTTTAGTTCACCTTCCCAGAAGAGAAAGACTGATCATTTTGGTTAAACTGGGTTATAACTTGGTTATAACTTAGGTTAAACTGTAAAATCCCTATGCACAACTGTGTTAATGATGTGACTTACTCCACATTCTTGGCCCAGTCCGGGGGATTGCTGAGGGTCATGAAGGAGCAGTTGGTCAAGATTGTGCACATGATCACAAAACTGAACATTGTGAGCAGCCGTCAAGGAATATACACAAAAAAAACACACACAAATATTGAATGTATACACACCCAACTACACCTGATCTCACCTAATATTTTACTGTATTTTTGATCACATAAATGGAGCCTAAAGAGGCATCTTTCATCAACATTAAAAAAATCTTAGAGCCCAAACTTTTGAATGTTATACAGTATGTATTTTGGTCAGATTGTCAGATGTTAGTTCCTTTCTAAGTGTTCTAATAAAATAAGATGAATGTGGACCAGAATATATGTTGCAAGTAAAAAGTCTGGCTATGCGAGACTAATCTATACCTTGTTTAGATGCTTACATAAATACATTCAGCTGATAAAGGATATGAATGCACCAGGACCTTGATGGAGATTCTCCTCAATGGATTGAAGGGGCTCAAAATATACAAAGCCGGCGTAGCATTAAAGCGGAATATAGTCTTCCCACGATTCAATACTATAAAGGTCTGAAGCAGAGAAAACTAGATTGTGGTTACAGTGGACACAATCTGCAACAATCTCTTTTCAAATCTGTTTCACAAGGCGTTACATAACTACAGAGAGTGATACACGTTACAACAACAGACTGAAGTCCTGCTGGCAGTCTAAACATAAATAAGAAGCTTCCATTTTAAAAATCTTCTCACACATACTTTTTGGTTGCTGTAGTAGGTGTCCAGGTCTTCCAGCGGGACGGACACCAATTCGGGTGGAATCTCTCCGTAGATGAAGGGCAGGGATTTTCCCGCCTCCAAATCGCTGTTGGGTTTGGGCCCATTTTCATCATCATCATCAGGCCGTCTCCCGCCTTTGGGCCGTTGGGCCGCCTCCTCTGCGATGCGGTGCTCGATAGCAGCGAGAGACTCAGGCAAGAATCGTCGAAAGCTGTCAGGTCCGGGTGGAACGAGCAGCTGAGCAGCCATATTGACATCCTGCTCTGGTAGCTGCACCAGCTAATCTCCGGTCAGTCTGGGAGCTGAAGGAAGGAAATCACACGTTCAATACATAGTGGCTGCGAGAGGAGACTGATCATTACAGTGGAAGTCCTTCATTTTTATTAATAGAGTCAATCTGTGACAATTTAAAACATGAAATAACTATTGTCAGTTTATTTACAAAATGATCAGCATCACACTGGAGACTCGGGAGAATATTTAATATAGTAACTATTACCAATTAAGAGGCTGTTAACATTCATGCAGTGCCATTAGATGCAGCTTGTGAGTGTGTGTGTGTGTGTGTGTGTGTGTGTTTACAGAACCGGATGGTTGTACCAGCTCTGTATGTTACAGTAGAGCAGCAATGCCTGCGGGTCACCAGGCATAAATAGCCAGTCTGCAAGAGCTGTGAGTGCCAAACTGGGCGTGTACCCAAGAGAAAGGGAGATATTTCGGGGGGGTTTATCCCTTTTCAAGAACTACAACAAACGGCTTGTTTGGACTACAGCGTTGGTTTCCGGGCTTTGTGATATCACAAAGCGGCTCATTAGAATATCATTAAAAATAATTCCCGCCTACAGAAATTCGAATGGTTGGCGGGTGGGGAGGGGCGAGGTTGTGGTTAGAACGCTTGGTTGAGTGACTGCATCAGACAAGACGACGATTAAGAAGAAGTGCTGCTGCAGAATTAGTGCATCAGAGAAAACGAAGAAGAAGAGATGCTGTGCTGTAGCGTCACATTTTCGGCATGTCTAGAACAATTCATACAAGTATAGCACGACGTAGCTGGGTGCCGCGGACAGACACCGACCGGCACCTACACTCATACAAAATAATGCTTTTGAATTTTAATCCAAATCCAAACGCTCAGGCTCCATTCTTCCTTTTTTTAGGTAATACTTTTTAAAAGTTCAAATAAAACTGACCTGAATCAAAATGAATCAATATAGTTGACAGCTGTGGAAAAAAAAACATTTATAAAAACAGTAATTGTTTTAGTTTCTAGAATTTTCTAGAACTAGGATTTCTTTTTACACAAACAACAGCTGAGACTGCTCCAAACCACCCCCGATGCAAAACCTTAGTCCTCATCTAACTGGAAAGGCATAATAGTAGTTGCAATAAACATTTCACCAAGCAAACTGAAAAATCAGTAGTCTCTTTTTTACTCACTGGATCCATATTATAGATCATGTCCACGTTTAATGAATGAAGATGAAAACATTTTCAAAACTGAATCTGTGACCAAATAAAATCTGCTATTCACTCTTTCCTTTTTCACAAATAACTACCACACAGAAAACCAGGTGAAAAAAACTGTTGCAGATTTTGAAATGCTTGTTTAACTAACATCCTTATACAAATCTGCGTGAAAATTACATGCCCAGAGTATGAATCATACGTCATATAAATCAATACTTATGAAGATATATTGATATAATAATTTGAAACATATTTTAAAGGTGCAATTCACCCAAAAACTTGCTGCAAATTTACTTACCCTCAGGACATCCAAAGATGTAGATGAGTTTGTTTCTTCATCAGAAAAGATTTGGAGAAGTTTAGCATTACATCACTTGCTCACCAGTGGATCCTCTTCAGTGAATGGGTGCCTTCATAATAAGAGTCCAAATAGCTGATAAAAACAATAATCCAATAATCTACAAGTAATCACCATGACTCAATTTCATCAATTAACATCTTATAAAGTGAAAAACTGTATATTTGTAAAATGTAAATTAAAAAAAAAAAAAAAACATTATTGAGGTGTTCTGGCCAAAATACCATAATAACAACCATAACCCTGATTTTCAACAAATACAGGCCCAGTCGACGGATGATGTTAATCACGATTGTTATTTTTGGCATTGAGTGGCGACAGAAGCCCAAGGTGAGTTTGGAGGCCGTACCTTTATAGATGAGGATTCATCTCGAGCGCAGGGGCGAAGCAGCTGTCGCCATGTTGACGTCTCCGTTTATTTCCATTCCGCAAGCTCGAGGTCCCCCCAAACCACAACGAACTCCTAACCGTTTACACGACCATTTCTAGAGCTTTATGTCCCACCCCTCCCCAAAAAAAAAAACATCGCCCGGGGGCACAACAGCTCAACATTTCCACCCCAGACGACACCGAATGAAGAACAGAGATTGATGTAATTCCACGTAACGAGAAACACACCTAAAGGGTTAAACGGTGTCTAGGCGACAGAGAGAACGTCTCTGGGCGTGCCTTCTTTTTTCACTGACCAAAAATGTCCCCACCGTAAACGAGTTTCAGAGGCATAAAGGTTCGCATTAACACCGCAAATTGGCACTTATTGGTGTCCTCGGATTGTGTTTTCACCCCCTTCTCGTTTACAGCCAGTGTGCGACAGTGGGTGGGTGTGGAAATGTGAGGGAAGGAGGGGGTCGCGTTTGCTCCTCTTTTCAATGACAATCATTATCAATATAATTAATGTGCTATGGGGACATTCAACGTCTTGTGAAAATCTCAAAACAAGAGGTGTTGATCCATTAAGCTTAAAACCACTCGACTGCAGTCCTTCGTCCAGACAGCATCTCTAATTTTGAAAGATCAGCCAAATTTTTGCAGCACCTCACATCATCTCCATTGGCAACCAGCGGACAGAAACCCAAACATCTGTCCAGGTTTTAACATTCACAAATCCTTTGTAAAATCCCTGATCCGATCCAAATCCCGTTTAAACTCCTTATAAGTGCCTGGATGATCCGAATCAGGCTACTGCGCAAACATATGCCTCAGCCTCCGTGAGCTTTACATGGATATTATATATGAATTATTTGTTTACGTTAACTGATCATAATTCCGCTCTGTTGAGCAGTCAGAGGATGACCTTTAAATGTGTGCATAATCATATTCTTCATTTGCCTAAAGGACGAAAATCCTAATCATCCAACTGTCTTTTGACAAACAAGTGCCTATTTTGAGACAAACATATAGACTTATTTATAACAATATTTTCATGATCTTGGCGGTCTTAAATGCATATCAGACCAAAAAAATATGATTTTCTTGTGGCAGGCCTTTCTAGACGTTTCTGGATTGATCTTTTACTCACCATAGCAATGCCTGTCAGGCTCGAACCTGGATGATGGTGAATTCTAATAACTTCGTTTTACCCTTAGTTCCGTCTATTGTGTCTTTCTTCCACTAAAACGCGGTTGTTGTCAAACAGATTGAGAGGGCACGGCGATGTTTTTATCCACTGAAAGGCGCTCTCAGCTGTCGTTAGTCTCCCCAAATATCACGGATGATAGTCGCTTCCGGTTATCCGTGGCTTGGGTGGTGGGAGTGACGCGTGCGCGAGCCTCACGACTCGACTCCAGAGTCAACGCGCAGCTTTAGCCAGAACCCGCACGTGAGGCCCGGGCGACCACTGTAACGAAAACAGACGGGGTTAGACGGGGTTGCACAGAGAACAAATATCTATGTGAAGCTTTTTTAATCCATTTTTTTTTTTTTTTTTTAAATTGGTTACGTCATAGGCATTCCACATGTAGTGTTTTTTGCATCAACGGTAATTCGCATTTTTTTATTGAGAACATTTTATTCTAATTAGAGGAAATTACTTCTCTAACAACGATTATTTTATGTTAAAAAGTTCAAACAGTTCTAGAATAAGAGCTTTTGCTCCAAACTGAAATGTGTTTTAAAGATTAGAAATGTGCATGTTTTTGCATATTACCTTTGACATGATTGTTGTTCCAGGAATTACTTTGTGTTTCACTTTTGTTTTACTATTTAGATTTAAAAGCAGTGTTGGGGAAAGTTACTTTTAAAAGTAATGCATTTACGCCATAAAAAAGTAACTAATTACGGTACTTAGTTGCTTTTTGTGGAAAGTAATGCGTTACGTTACTTTTGCGTTACTTTTTAAATCTGGACAGGGCTTGCTTGTTTGTTTTTACAATAAAAAAGTTATATTTTTGACAAATATAAAAGCCTTTTTACACCAAAAGTGAAATGAATAAGCCTCAGGCTGAAGGGAAAGTAAATTTACATCCGTACAGTAGAATGCAGAAGAAGACATTTCAACACACTTCAGCAATAAAAAAAAGACACAGAAATGTTTGTCTAGAGTAATTTTTGCTTATTAGTATGAACTGGATCATCGAAGGTCAGAAGCAAAGTCATTGGTTAATAGAATGTGATTAAATACATAAAGGATATTTGTGTTGTTTAACATTTAATTATTGCAGGTTTGCATCATATTCTGAGTTTTGAGGAATACTGAATCTGTGTTTTGAGTTAGATGAATTAATGCATATTCATATTTATTTTAGAACTACAGTAACATCTTCTGATTTCTCTCAGCATGGGGACAGGAGAGCTGTCAATCAATAAATTGAAGAAAAAAAAAGTAACTTGCGTTACTTATTTGAAAAAGTAACTCAGATATTCTCTTGTAAATTAACTTGAAAAAAGTAATCTGATTACGTAACTTGCGTTACTTGTAATGCGTTACCCCCAACACTGTTTAAAAGGGTAGGCTATAGCAGGGCATTTAAATTGCGAGGTGGGGCATGTTGTCACAAAAGATCAAGATGTGCCAAGTGGAAATGCTTTTTGTAGCCTTTAATGTGCCTAAAAAATGACTTAATTAAAATTGACTTAAACATTGATAAATATTCCCTGGGAAATATTCTCTCCATTAAAAGTGTGATAACTAGCTGCTTGAAATGTCAACAGAACTGTCCAATACTTTAATTCACAGTACTTAAGATTTTCAGATGTTATTTTTTTAGGCATTTTATTTGAATTGCTTAAATTGAAAGGCTGTTGTTGATATTAACATAGTTTGTTCAGAAAACATGACTTTGAAGATCAATACAATGATAACCAATAAATAATTTTAATATACAGAAGCTTTATAAATAACATCTAAATGTACCTTCTATATCTAAAGTTGTATCTAATGCATGTTACTGTTCTAGACTTTATTTTATAAGTACACACTCAGAATAATATTGTGACTCACGTTTTCATGCAAACCAGTAATAAAGAGGAGAACTGGGAAGAATAAACTGTAGAATGAATTACCCTGTATATACTATAAAACAATGTACCACATGTGTATGGACCACAGAAGGAAAATCTATTTATGTTCTCTCTGGGGACAAAAAGTTTCACATAAGATTAAAAGAGATTAGAATGATTTGTTGCCTGTTTCTTTGCCTATCCAGGACTGCATTTTACTTACAAACATCTAGGGCTGTACAGGATCAGTCAATACTATTGTGTTATATAGTATAGGGATTGAGGCTGGTCGTTTCTCAAATCCCTAAATTAACCAGACACGGTCAAAATGAATAATCCGTATCCATGCTTGAAAGAGGTTGCTGGCGTACACGGCACCCGAGGCATGGGAGAGGCGCGACGCTCCAAACAATGCGCGCACGCCCTCTGCTGGCGACAAGGAGAGATGGTGGCGCTTCTTACGACGCATGGAGCTGACTTAATTATTTGCTAAGAAACTTAGCGCGTTCTTTTCGGTTGTTTATTACATGTTTAGTATGGATGAATGCATTGGTAAATTTGTATGGTCTCAGTCTTAAAAATATACGCTCAGATAGGATCGGTGATTTACTGCGTTACAGCGGCTGTTCTGTGCCAGCGCGTCGCGCCTCCGCAGGGCTCGTGGTGATGCATGACGCATCGCGCTGGTTTTGACATTCACTGAGCTTCCCTCATTAAGCGCTCTCACCCGCGGGTTGTCATCGAGGCATAGGGCGTACTGAAGGATCACCAGTACGCCGAGCGGACAGAATACGGGTAAACTCTCTCAATGGAGCAGCTGGCTATGACAGAAGTGTTTATCCTGCCGAACGGACGAATAACCCGATAAATACTTCGTTCAGTGAAAGGGCCCTGCGTTCTTCAGCCAGTGTCGCCTGGACAAACGATGTACGCATTTAGATCAGGGGTGCCCAAACACGGTCCTGGAAGGCCGGTGTCCTGCAGAGTTTAGCTCTAACCCCAATTAGACACACCTGAACCAGCTAATCAAGCTCTTATTAGGCATACTAAAATCTTCCCACCAGGTGTGTTGAGGCAAGTTGGAGCTAAACTCTGCAGGACATCGGCCCTCCAGGACCGAGTTTGGGCACCCCTGATTTAGATGATGGTTAAACGTTTAAAAGTGTATTTAAAATGACAGTAAAAATGGTGTGAGGATGTATCTTCCATGTGAGCACTTTTGGGCGTGTGTACTTTTTAAAAAAAATTTGTCAATTCTGTGGGAAAAATTACATTTTAAAATAAAATAAATTTGGCCCACATTTTTTTTGTGATGCTAGGGCTTAATGTCACAGTAGCTTACAGCTATTTTGTAGGCTATTGTGAAAAAGCGTTGGCCCCCTTCCTGATCTCTTATTTTTTTAACTCTGCAGTCACACTTTAATGTTTCAGATCATCAAACAAATTTAAATATTAGTAAAAGATAACACAAGTGAACACAACATGCAGTTTTTAAATGAAGGTTTTTATTATTAAGGGAAAACAAAATCCAAAACTGCATGGCCCTGTGTGAAAAAGTGTTTGCCCCCTAAACCTAATAACTGGTTGGGCCACCCTTAGCAGCAACAACTGCAATCAAGCGTTTGCGATAACTTGCAATGAGTCTGTTACAGCGCTGTGGAGGAATTTTGGTCCACTAAAAATGCTACAGTAAAAACCTGTTAAATGGTTAATGGTAAATTCACCTACTATATACGGTGAAAAACTGCATTGGACATTACATGCATTGGACATTAATTTTACGGTAGTATACCGTTTTTGGAAGTGAATAATTTACAGTGAATAACCGTAAATTAACATTCCCAGAATTCCCTGCGTTACATTTTCAATTTGATGTATTTTTGTTGAAATAACTATGTGTCTTCTTAGTTTTTTCTTATTAGTTTTGTATTTTAGGGTTTTGTGTTACACCTAATGTTGTTAAATGAATGTTTATTGCATTATTTCAGTTTCATGTGTGTTACCATGATGGTGTTTAGTGTTTGTGTGAATGACTACTGTGCACCTTCTATTAAAAGCTGCTTGAGATAGGCTTTGGTTCATCATGTGACTTTCTCATCACCACCTGCATTGGGTGGTTATCAGTGTATTACAAAGGTACAAAACAGATTTCAGATGAAATTACGGTATTTAACTGTAAATTTAAGTTAAAACCGTAAAACCTAAAACGTTGCTACCGTATTTTTTACGGTAACATTCCGGCAACCACAGCGTAGTTTCAATTCCGGTAACCAATTTTACGGATTTTTTTTTATAGTGTAGTATTTAGTCAAACTACTCATAGTTACATAACATGTTCACATCTTTAGGCTACATAAATTCAAAACTATAGCTTATTACCTGTATTTAAATATTGTACATTGTCCACTTTTATTATTATTATGGTTATCTGTTTATTTAAAGATAATGTTATATTAAGATAAACAAAGCAGATTTTGGTAGTTCAGGTAGATTATATTAACATTAATGAAATTAAATATAATGATATATTAATGAAATTATATTACAGTTATACGTTTTGAAATATACAGACATTCCAAAATACTGGAAACATCGCCACCGTATTTTTACAGTGAATTTCTGGCAATCACAGCTGCCAGTTTTTTTTAAAACAGTATGTGTTACACCTAATGTTGTTAAATGAATGTTTATTGCATTATTTCAGTTTCATGTGTGTTACCATGATGGTGTTTAGTGTTTGTGTGAATGACTACTGTGCACCTTCTATTAAAAGCTGCTTGAGATAGGCTTTGGTTCATCATGTGACTTTCTCATCACCACCTGCATTGGGTGGTTATCAGTGTATTACAAAGGTACAAAACAGATTTCAGTACTTCCATAAGGATGGTATATTAACATTATATCAGTTAATGAAATTACAGTATTTAACTGTAAATTTAAGTTAAAACCGTAAAACCTAAAATGTTGCTACCGTATTTTTTATGGTAACATTCCGGCAACCACAGCGTAGTTTCAACTCCGGTAACCAATTTTACGGATTTTTTTTTAATAGTGTAGTATTTAGTCAAACTACTCATAGTTACATAACATGTTCACATCTTTAGGCTACATAAATTCAAAACTATAGCTTATTACCTGTATTTAAATATTGTACATTGTCCACTTTTATTATTATTATGGCTATCTGTTTATTTAAAGATAATGTTATAATAAGATAAAAAAGCAGATTTTGGTAGTTCAGGTAGATTATATTAACATTAATGAAATTAAATATAATGATATATTAATGAAATTATATTACAGTTATACCTTTTGAAATATACAGACATTCCAAAATACTGGAAACATCGCCACCGTATTTTTACAGTGAATTTCTGGCAATCACAGCTGCCAGTTTTTTTTAAAACAGTAAATGTAACGTTTTTTTTTTTTTTTACAGTACTGGGATATACAATTTCTCTACGTTGAATCACCCTTAAATTACCATAAAAATGAAGTGCTGTAAATGCAAATTGAATTGAATTCTTCCTCTAAGAGAAATACAGTCATATTTTTTCATTAGATTAAAAAGGTCTATATTTGCTAATAAATAAAAGTACACAGAGCACAGTTACATTAGCACTAAAGTGTGACAGTACATGCCTTCATTAGAATAGGTCTGCTGAATATCTCTACTCACCCTCTGACACTATATACACACACACAAGTTCATGAATATCTGTTCAGATGCCAGAATAGACACATGACCTGAAACTCAAACAGACACTTGAGAAAAGATTCAAGGTCTGCTTTTTCTTTGTGGAGCTGGCCGCTGGTCAGAGGATGTGTGAAATACACACACTGAGAGAATGCATAGGGACCCACCGCGAGGGGAACGAGGTCATGTTATCAACGTGAAATGTAAACACATGTACACACAAGGCTATATTTGCGCATCTTGCTTTGTGTGTGTTTCTTTGATACAATGAACCCACAGTCCTTTAAATGACTGAAGCATTTTTGTAGCATAGATGTTACATAATTACTGTGATGAGTCCTTGACCGTGTTCTTCAGGGCTGTGGAGAGTAGAAACCGCTTTAGTGCTTAATACCAATAAGTTTTCCTCTTGTATGAAAGTGATAAATTACTGCACTTCTGTGTGGCCCTACTGAGCAAGCAAAAATGTGTTGCGATGAATCAACTGCTGCAGCTGACTCTTTTGCACACTCTGAGACAACAGACAACCACAATAAGCTGATTACTCATCCGCCATGTGATCAGCCTTCTTGAAGATTGCCAGTGCATTAGCACAAGTAAACACAAGTAGCTTGATTCATTCATGCCCACATACCACCTTTCTCTCACACAGCTTCCCTCAAACATTTAAGACATTATTGACTAACATCATTAACCACATTCACTTATTAACAAACAAAATATATCTTTGCCATATATTGCTCCTCAACAAAAAAGTATTTTGATTTGCGTTTTAAGTAAAATCTAAATCATGTCAACTCAATAGCCTAAAACCAGAATGTTATATCACTGTCTCTCTCTTTGTCTCACGCGCGCGTACGCACAGGAAACAGATTTGTTGATGTCACAGCACTGGGCATGTCCATAAGGTAGGCTACGGACAAAACTACTAGAGGATTACCAAAGCTTGTCTTTGCATCCACTTGTTGCTTTGGTCATTTAGTCCTCCTTTTGTTTTTAAATGGCATTTGTTGGAAGAACCCCCTTATAGAGGACTGGAGTACGGTAATTACATTGCGTAATTGTGTCCAAAACTTTACGTGCGCGTCGGCGAGCTACTGATAGTACTTAAGCTAATCCTGCTGCGATGTAACAAACCTTTTAAGGTTGTGAATGTATCGTAAGTCTTAAAATTGCAATTTGCGAAGGTTTAAATGTAGAGGATTACCAAAGCTTGTCTTTGCATCCACTTGTTGCTTTGGTCATTTAGTCCTCCTTTTGTTTTTAAATGGCATTTGTTGGAAGAACCCCCTTATAGAGGACTGGAGTAAGGTAAGGACTTGAATAAGATACAGGTGGCACACATTGCGTAATTGTGTCCAAAACTTTACGTGCGCGTCGGCGAGCTACTGATAGTACTTAAGCTAATCCTGCTGCGATGTAACAAACCTTTTAAGGTTGTGAATGTATCGTAAGTCTTAAAATTGCAATTTGCGAAGGTTTAAATGAGCATGTATGTGTTAAATGTCTCCGCATATAAAAACCAAATGTGTGTTCCTGTGTGCCCTTACTGAACATTGGATGGCCACGTGCGTTTGGCGTTTTATTAGGCTTTTGTCGAGTTCGTTCTCATTGGAAATACGCGTGGGTTGTTGTGCATTTCTCCGCTTTGCGCCGCGCACGCCCAGATATGACAAACGTGACGCTCCAGCAAACGAGCACCATACACACTCAAAGGCGTTGGCTCCCCAACATTATTTTTAATTTTCGTCACTTTCAGAATAGCTATTGGTTCATTAAAGTCCATTTTCAGTCATCTTGTTTTAGTCCAATTTGGAGTTTTTAAATCAGCTGTGATTTGGACGTCATTTGGTTTTGGTTTTTAATGGCACGGTCAACGAGCAGGGTAAAACAGGGCCTTATCAACACCGTTATCAAAATTTAGAACATGCCTGAATGCACTTTAAAACTTTGCTTTGTGTAATTGCGTTTTAAGCATTAATTAAACGCATAATAATATTAATATAAAATAAGTTCAAGATTTGAATAAAAAAAATAGGCTACTCCAGGATTGGTAACAGGGTTGCATTAATTGTGAAATATTATTACAATGTAAAGTAACTGTTTTCTGTTTTAATGTATTTTAAAATGTAGTTTATTCCTGTGATGGAAAAGCTTAATTTTTTAGCAGCCATTCAGTCTTCAGTGTCAGTGATCCTATAGGTTCAGGTCTTTAGTGTTACTTCAGTTCAATTGAATGCATCCTTGCTAAATAAAAGTTTTAATTTCAGTAAAAGGATTACTGAAAGATCACCAAACTTTTGAGCGATAATGTATAAGGAATTATTTACTTTGCTGTGTTGGAGGTTGTGAGAAAATTGAGGCGCACAGTTATGCACGTTAATATAATTAAAAACTAAAATGATAATATACATTTCAACAATTAAATATTGTTTGGAGAGGGGCTTAGAGGCAGTTGATTCGTTGAAGATTAACAAAAGTTTGTTTAAGCTAAGACATCACAGAGGTATTGCTCCAATCCATGTCTAACAGAGCCCACAGTAGAAAATTCAGTCAATGGAACATATCTGGAAATTTCCCTTGCACAGCCGTAGCTGAGACACAAAGAGGATTTTTTCACAGGTTGGTGATGTGATTCATCACAAAGCTTTCTTCCATGAGTGTGTAACAGTGGATGCCATAATTGTCTCTGTTCCAAAGAACTACTTCTAAAAGGGAAATCCAGATGGGTTCTCATATCATTCCTACTTGGATAAATGTAGGGTGTTCCAACTGAATGACCCATCAATTTTTTTTTTACTTCATCAATAGGAAAACCAAAATCTACAGTGTCATCTATCTTTCATACTAGCTACAGAACACACCTATGGATCCCAAAGAAGATCTCATGGACAGGGACATCACTCTGACTGTGCTGCTCCCAGGAGGACAGGAGACCATAGCCACAGTGCATGGCAGGTGAGCGAGAGGGAAAAAATAAAGGTGATATTGCACATTTTCACCAATTCTGGTCATATTTTAATTCACTTGTGTGTGTGCGCTTGCAGTAAACCAGTTATGGATGTTCTGGTTACACTGTGTGCTCAACACCATCTCGTTCCATCAGATCATGTCATTAAGCTTATTTCCACAAATCAAAACCACATCAATTTCAAACCCAGCTCCATGATTGGCTCTCTTGAATTTGAAAGAGTTGTCCTGCAAACTAAAGGAAGTGATAACAAGAAGAAACCACATGTTCCTGTGGTAAGTCTGAAAGCTTAATTGAATCCATATCTCATAATTTTACCTTGATTACCATTTCATCTTAAAATTAAATTTTTAGTGGGTTTTGTCAAATATCAAGCAATTAATCTAGGATTTGGACCCTTTTGGTGCCTAAAACAAGAGTATCTTGCTGATTCTGAATTGTCATACTTTCAGGTCACCCATGTGTTGGGCACAGGGTCTTAAGTCACATTGAACCTGTCATTAAAAATGTATCTCTCTAAAAATTGAATTTCCCAGGCAACAGTTCGTCTTCTGATAAACTACAAGAAGTCCCATAAGGCAGTAGTACGGGTCAATCCTACAGTGCCGCTGGCTGAGCTGATGCCCACAGTGTGTGAGAAGTGTGAGCTTGACTCTGATGCCACCATCTTACTGCGAACATATCAATCAGAGGAACCTCTGGATCTCACCAAAACACTCAATGAATATGGAATCAGGGAGCTGTATGCCAAAGACATTAAAGGTTTGGAAATTAAAAAAGAAAGAAAAATAGGGCAGTGCACAAGCACCATAGTGACATGGCAATGTTGCATACTGTATCATATTAATTTCAAAACACCATACAATGTGCAGTACATACTGTGTGTGCTTAGTACACATTATGGGTCTCATGCACTAATAATTGCATGAATAATTCAGTTTTGAATTTGCAAGAATTAGTTTTTAACCTCATTATTATGTAAATGATTTTGGAGTATCTCAAATGAGTAACCACAATTCTCATTTGCATTAAACACACCCAAACCATCTCCATATTCTGCGTACTACACAACCTTTTATGTTTTTATGCAGAGGAAACATGTAGTTGCTATATTTTTATTTCAACCAATTGTATGAAAGTTATTAATGAATCATAATTTACGAAAATGTTCATACATAGATTTCACACACAAAATCATAAAAATACACCGTTAGTGAATGAGACCCCATGTTTATGATTTTTGAACAAGGCATCTGCTTGCATTTACATATTTAAATATGTGAATGAAGTAATATTAGTCTTGCAGTTAAGTTTTTTCTTTTTAAAGTGGTACCAAACAATCCTGTTGATCCTGTATTAACTCATTAAGGTACCAAACTCCAAGCAACTGAATTTTGTATCACAAAAAATATGTAATTGTTATCTTTATATAATAGTGCTGCACCAGTAATTTCCGCACTGCTGAGATTTGTCCACAAAAGTTTGTTTGAACTAAGAGGCTCTTTTGTGCTTGTCCAGGTGGTGATGAAGAACAGAAGTCCCCAGTTAAAGAAAAGAATCACAGAGAGAAGGGAAACAAAGGTTTCTTTGGATTATTCAAGAAGAACAAGAAAACACCTGAGCAGGTTTGTACACCCGTCAGTCTGTTTGGTTTAGCAGTCTGTGCAACCTGCTTGTTGTCATATTTAGGAAATGATGGGGAGAAATATCATAACCAAACTGTAACATTGTAAAACACTTGCGCCGGTCCACCCATCTGTCTCTGCATCTGTTTATCTTTCGGCTTTCCTTTCCATCTGTTTATCTTGCCTCATGTTTTTGAACATTAATTCAGTTTGCATATAGAAAAAATATTCCTTTTCTGTAATATTTGACTCCTTTCAACATATTCAGTGATTTATTTATTTTTTCTCTCTTCTTCTTCTTCTACAGGCTGTGACTGACTGTGCTCCAAACTCTCCTGAACGGAACGGCCAATGTGCGGACAGGGTGAACGGTGTTAATGGCCACTTAACCTTACCCATGGTCAATGCCGACATGCCAAAGAAGAGACGCGCTCCACAGCCTCCTATGATGGTGTCCCAGAGTGTCACTTGTGGACTTACCACCAGAGATTTTTCAGACCTATCAGAGAGTGACTCTATTGGAAAACAGGTGGGAATGCTGTGGGCATCTCCATACCAGTCTAAACAAACCTGTACCATTGGCCATCCAATATTCATATATGTAGGCATCAGTGTTATTTTAGTATTATTTATATACTACTATAGTATGCATTGATATTTTGAATTAGCCTTTGTTTTTATATTTTCAGTTTTCATTTTAATTTTTGTATTTATTTCTTGTGCTTTAATAAATTTTAATTATATATATATATATATATTCTTAATGCTTGCCAACTGTGTTGGATTAATTATTTGCTTTTGTTTTACACTGTACTACCAGGAGGGGGCGCCTAACAGGCAGCACAGTCTCCTTTCCTCCTCCTCTCCTCCATGCATGCTTCTCTGTTCCTACTTTCATCGGTGATGGGCTATTTGTTCTCTGTGTCTTTACATAGCCTTCATGTCTTATGCACGTTGCACTGAACTTAAGTTCTTGTTGAGTCTTGTTCTGTTGTTTAATTGGCTTCCTTGCTTAAGGTCACTCCCTCTTGTTTTAAACTGTAATGTGAAGTCTTTTTCACCTTGTTAGTATAAAGACAATGTAGTATTCTAGAGGATAAAGTAATGCACACTCAGGTCAATAACAGAGTCAATTTATGCCGTAGACAGATGGATTTCATTGTAGTTTGTAGGTTCTAATGTTTTTAATATAAATTTATTTCAGTGTTTGTGTAATCTGTAGCACTTTATCACAATAATTGTGCCTTGATTTTGAGCCACAGCTCCCAAGATGGTTGTAATCAGTGTTTGATGATATTTTTATCTACGTAACTGCGGTTCAGCTTTATTAAATGTCAATGTCTTTAAAAATTAAAAAAAAAAACATGTCGGGGTCATAAGGGATGCTTTTAAGAATTCATCATAAATTATTCAATATTCAGAAATTCAAAAATGAATTCATCAGCCACAAATAAATCAAAATCACACTCAGGTCAATAACAGAGTCAATTTATGCCGTAGACAGATGGATTTCATTGTAGTTTGTAGGTTCTAATGTTTTTAATATAAATTTATTTCAGTGTTTGTGTAAACTTTATCACAATAATTGTGCCTTGATTTTGAGCCACAGCTCCCAAGATGGTTGTAATCAGTGTTTGATGATATTTTTATCTACGTAACTGCTGTTCAGCTTTATTAAATGTCAATGTCTTTAAAAATTAAAAAAAAAAACATGTCGGGGTCATAAGGGATGCTTTTAAGAATTCATCATAAATTATTCAATATTCAGAAATTCAAAAATGAATTCATCAGCCACAAATAAATAAAAAATGTGGCTTTCTGAATGACTGACGTGAGCTAAAAATGGACCTGGATCTGGCTTTCAAACCTGGCTCCAGAAAATATATAACTGCCAGTATGTGTCTTGCAGAATGCTGGGATTTACTATGGTGTCCTGAGTTTTGTTTTTTGTTTTCTCCAGGTAATTGATGGCCAGTCTGAATATGGTAGTGTTCATTTGGCTTAAATATGGAGGATGTTCTTCACCAGAATGAACAGGAGGACACACTATATTAAACTACTCTATTAAAACCGCTATTTCTTATAAGATTATTTGATTCTGTGTTTTAGCATTATGAATATTTTGGATGATGAAAAACATTCTGAAAGATGTGACCTGTATTTTCCTTCTTTTTTTTTTTCTCGACTGATTTTCACAGATCCTTTCAGAAAGGAGTATTTTTCCAGCCTTTTAATTGACTCAACAGGAACGTTATTGTGCCAAGAGTAAACTTTGCCCCCACTAAATACACTTGGGGTAAAAACATGCATGTATTCATATGTGCACATTTTTGTATATTAATGAAGGCTTATATTGCTGAATTTAAGTCTTTTTTTTTTCCTTAGAGAAATTAGTCCTGAGAAACTTGCCAGGATACAGTTTTCTACATGTTGTCATTTGTATTTTTGAGCATAAATAAATAACATTTGTTTGTAAACTTCAGGCAAAGTGTTTCATCATTCAGATTTAGTGAAAAATATAAAAGCAAAGTCAGAGTGGGTGGTGCTGTGATGTTAAAGAAATAGTTCTCCCAGAAATGGGGGGGAAAAAAATGTACTTGCCCTCAGGCCATCTAAGATGTAGCCTAGATGAATTTCTTTCTTCATGAGGACTGATTTGGAGAAATTTTGCATTACATAATTTTTTCACCAATGGATCCTCCATGAAGCACCATATATGATGGCGACTCTTCTATGCAACCATGATGTTAAAATGTTGTGAATGGTAAGAAATCCTTATTGATAACATTCATAACTATACTGTACATTGTCCATCATATCTGACATATTTATAAATATAATCTGAAAATTGTACATTTGTAAAATGCACACTTGTAAATAACATATCTGTACATTAATTTAAACAATTACATGTTTTTTCTCTATATTTCTACTTCTGTATATAGTGCATTATTTAATTTTCTGTTTTTCTTATAGTGTTATTCCATCTCTGCTGTGTAATTCCTATGTATGTCTGCACTATCATGTACGTTTGCACTATGTTCATACTTTCTTCTGCACTGGAAGCTCCTGCCGCCAAGTGTGTGTAAACATACTTGGTAATAAAGCTCTTTCTTACTTCTGACTTCTGACTCTGAAATCCTTAGTGATTGTTAGCACATTGCTAGAGTGTTCAAGGCGCTAAATGGTTGCATTTTGGTCCCAAGAATATACTCTATAATAGGTCTATACTTGGGAGAAAATCTGTTAGCATTCCCAGTGGTTGACTAATCACTGTCACATGAATTTTTCTTTTTTTTTATAATTTTATTGTCCTAGGAAAAAATCTAAGTGTCACTTGTACAGGTGCATCTCAATAAATTAGAATGTCGTGGAAAAGTTCATTTATTTCAGTAATTCAACTCAAATTGTGAAACTTGTGTATTAAATTCAGTGCACACAGACTGAAGTAAGTCTTCCCAAAATCATCACAATTAAAAGAACCAAAGACTTAAACTACTTCAGTCTGTCATTGAATCATTGAATTTATTTAATACACGAGTTTCACAATTTGAGTTGAATTACTGAAATAAATGAACTTTTCCATGACATTCTAATTTATTGAGATGCACCTGTATGTTTGTAAACTCATTTAGTGTAACTGTTATGAAGAGCACTAGGGGGCAGTATATACCAAAAGCCATAAGTGCTTCAGAACCGTGTATTGTGCATGCTTTTGTCACAGACAAGGCAAACACTTTTTCCCTCATTGATCCCGATGTAACTCACATACTTTGAGGATCCTTTCAACTGTCATTTTCTAAACGATAAACACAAAGGTCAAATCACAGAGCAGAGCTTTTTAACCAGCGACACAGTGTTATGTGTGTTTTCAAATACCTACCTCTTTCTGCTAGTAACATCTTTTCTGTCTGTCATGACAAGTTTTATAGACTTCATAAAACTGAGGGGAAAAAGCTTTCAGTGTTGCTTTATTCTCTGGGCAGTCAAAGACATTAAAAAGGATGAAGTTTATTTATCTTCCTTGCTTTTTGTTTGAGGAGGACTCTCTCAAGGCCGCAACAGCCTGCAGAGCGGTTGCATCTCCACCTTTTAGACCTTCAGCCATTTCAGATTTTCCTCCTCTCATTTTCAAGGTGTGTGTTTTCTTGCCCTCTGAGACACCTCTCTGTGGTGTGTAGGAATGGTTTTCCAACAGGCATGGCTGATTGAATAGGACCCCGCTAAGCACAATGAGGGGCTTTTCATCAAATTGGTCTATTGAAACCCACGTGTGGCCGTAAACACTGCGGGTATATGTTTGCCATAGCGAATTGGGGGATAGGTGGGCTTTATTGGTCATCTGACCTATGCATGTTTTCTATTTTATAAAGCTAGTTTGATTTACATGTGTGTAAGTATGCTGAGGAACTGATCGAAACGCTCTCGCGTTAAGATATGCACCTTGTGTAAAGTCCATTGGTGGTGCATGAGATGGAGGAAGCGTCTAGTTCTCCCTGGTGGACTGGTGCCTTTCACAACCTCCCTCATCAGTATTCCGGCAAGTTTGTGGCGTACATACTTCCTACTGGTCACTGAAGCCAGATCAGCGCTCCCCAACCCCCACGCAGCACAGACACGCCCGGCGAGAGCAGGCGCCACACACACTCATATGAATACTGATCACCTAAAGCCCTAATTAACAATCAGAGCCAAACTTATTTACATAAAGTCTGTCTCAGACGGAACAGGCCTCAGATGAAGCTGTCAGATATCTGCACTTAAAAATCCAGTGAAATCTACTTAAGACTATGATGGGTCGCTGAGTTCAATGACACAGCTGCCAAAAGTAACAGTTTTGGCCTGTAGTACATACAGTGTATGTATATATATATATATATATTATATATATATATGTATACTGTGGATATATTCTCACACACACATGTGCACATACATATGAATTACCATGCATAAATAAGTACTTTAATTTTCAAATAATTTTCACTGTGTCATCCTGGCATAAACACATACAAGCATGAAATATGATAAAAACATGATATTGTATGACATCTGATGAAACTGCAGACAGATACTGTATCTGCAAATCCTTTAGACTATGATGAGTTGTTGAGCTCAATGACACTGCAGCCTAACAGTTACAATTAATAATGTGTTTGTAGTATGTATCATATTATATCTTCTCTCCATGAAAATGAATATAAAAATACTTCAAATTACTCCTATTACACACACACACACACACACACACATATATATATACAGTGCACAGCATAAATGAGTACATCCAAAATGTTCTGGTGTTGCTAGAGGAGGAGTACAGAGAGAAGTGCCTGGTTCCCACAGTGACGTTCAGTGGTAGTAAAGCTTTTATATAGGGATGAATGCTGGCATGAATTCACACACCACTATGTGATGTAATACAAAAGCTTGAAACAGAAGATACTACCCTCCCCTCATTCCCTGCATTTTTGGGCATTTTTTTTAACATGACAATGAATATATTCATTCTCCCAAGGTGAAAATCCTTCAGTGGACATGTATTTCACTCAGTCTTAATGCTCTTGAGCAGCTGTGGGGGATTCTGTAGAGACGAGCTGAGCAACACTCCCCATTAAAGACCAGAGCATTTAAGGAGGTCGTCCAGGAGTTAAACAGCACAGATGTGAAAATTTGTCATGAACTTGTACACTCAGTGCCAAGAAGTGTCAGAGCAGTGTACTTTAAGTTCTGGAGGACATACTAAATAGAATATTATACATTTTCTGAATTAAATCTAGGGTGTACTCATTTCTGCAATCCTTAATTTAAACAAAATCGCTAATTGACTTATTTGACAGAAAATATTGGCATATATTTTGTTGTTTTTGTTAAGTATATGTTTACTATGTTTCAATTTTGCCATCTTTACATGAATTATATTAATTATATAAGTGATCATTAAGAAAATACATCTTTTATATTTATTCAGAGGGGGTGTACACATTTATTCTGTGCACTGTATATATATATATATATATATATATATATATATATATATATAAGCATTTATTGTCATGGTGTATATATGTATGATATTATATATGTATACATGATATACTGTATGATATGTATGAATTGTCATTCATGGTTATGGAGTAACACACGAGAATGAAACTCGAGTAAATATGGTAAAAAATATGATATTATTTTACCCACCTGTGTAAACTGAATAAGGAGTAATAGTTTTCATCTGAAGGTATGCCTGACCTTTCCGACTGTCCAAAAATGTCAGTTAGGCTTTCAGGCACGGAGCTGAGTTTCTCTTTAACATTGCCTCCCACAATCTCTGACATTTCCTCTGATGTCACCACATTCTAACCCCCACAATGCTGTGCAGATGGCCTTTCCTCCCTGCCCTTACACAGAAAGACAGAGAGAAAAGACAAACAGACAGACACTATATTTAGTCTAGAAATGGACAAAAGAACCAAGAAAATGTTGTAATCACAACATGCACAGTTTTTCAACCTTAACTTCCCCACTTTTAGTGCTGTTTTCTTAAACGAGATGCAAAATATTGCTGCTTGTCTACGTTCTTTTCTATCTCAAATTCTTTGCACTTTGCTTAAACTGCTTTGCCTATAGGACTGCGTCTGTGTATTTGAAATGAAAACTGGCTCTTTTTTCTTTTGATGAAAAGTAATTAAGATGATTCTAAATGTCAAGGTGCTCTTTCTTTTCTCAGCCTCTTCCAGTGTTTATTCTTTCTATTTTTCATTCTGTCAGATTATCTCTCTTTCATTTTCTCTGCCATTTGACACCAGGGTCATTAACATGTCAGGGCTTCACTGGCTAATATGTAGAAATATTCATAATTTATGCTAAACTCGTGCCTTTTATGCAAAATGATAATCAGAGACAGGGACATGAGCGGCACTGTAATAGCAAACATAAGAAATGTGGATTAGAATGAGATGATGTTGAGGTTGGTGAATGGGGACTTTTTTTTCCGCACACTGAATG